AGATGCAGGCAGACATGGCCACTGTCTTCAAGCACCTGTCAGGTGACTTACTATCTGTTCACCCCTGTGTCCCCAGGACCTACCGTGACTGCCGGCACTCAGAAAGTACTTACTGAATGCTGAACAAATCAGTAGCTCCACAAGTAAAAGAAGAACAAAATTGTGGTCACTTGTAACTGAAATCAGTTAAGAAAGGATATTGGAAGTGTGAGGTTTAGAATTCTTGACTCTTGGCTTTAATACCAAAAATACCCACAGATAAAAAATTGGAAGGCAATTCCAAAAATTGGAAGGGAACTCACTAGTTCCCTGTCACCAGATAGATTCAAGCTGGATGACCACCCTCAGGGCTTCTGCCAGTTTCCTGCCCTGGGTGGTGGCTTGGAAGGGATGATTTCTGAGTGTTCTTCTGACTCAGATTATTTAGATCTCTGTATATTTCTTCAGGTACTTACTGAACATCGATTATGTGCCAGTTTCCTAAGGTTTACATATACAAATCCATTAAATAAGGCTGAACAAAAATAATTACTGCTGGGGGGCGCCTGGGTGGCTCAGTCATCAATCGTCTGCCCTCGGCTCAGGTCATGATCCCAGGGTCCTAGGATCGAGCCCCGCATCGGGCTCCCTGCTCTGCAGGAAGCCTCCTTCTCCCTCTCCGACTCCCCCTGCTTATGTTCTGCTCTCGCTCTCTGTCAAATAAATAAATAAAATCTTTAAAAAAATAAAAAATAAATAAATAAGTAAATAAAAAGAAATAATTACAGCTGGGATTTATCAGTTTATTCTGTCCCACTTAAATTACTAACTGATTTGTATGCATATTATGAGACTCCTTGTAACTGCCTAGAGGCAAATCCTATTATATAATTCTTGTTTTCTAAACCAGAAAACTAAGGCTTAAGGTTAAGCAGCTTGCCCAAGTCACTCTGCCAAAATCTGGTGAGGCTAGGACTTGAGCCCAGGACTGTCTGATCTCAGAGCCCTCAATCCTAGCCACGAAGCTACTAAGTGGAGTTTGCAGTTGAACCCAACCCAGTCCACACCCGACATGGTCCTGAGATTGAGAGGTCCTGTAATACTCTCCTCAACCCCCTCTCTGCTGTCATTATTTTGCTTCCTTTTTTAAAAAATTTTATTTTATTTTGGTAAGAACACTTAAATGAGATTTACCCTCAACAAATATTTAAGTGTACAATACATTATTATTGACTATAAATCCCATGTTGTACAACAGATCTCTAGAGCTTATACATCTTGCTTAACTGAAACTTTACGCCCATTGATCAGTAACTCCTCACTGCCCCCTCCCCCTGCCTCTGGAAACCACCATTCCACTTTCTGATTCTATGGATTTGACTATTTTAGATATATCATATAGGTGGAATTATGAAGTATTTTTTTCCTGTGGCTGCCTTATTTTGCTTAGCATAAGGTCCTTAAAATTCATCCACATTGTCACATCTGGCGGAATTTCCTTCAATTTTAAGGCTGAATAGTATTTCATTGTAGATATATAACACATTCCACTCATCTGTCAATAGACAATCAAGTTGTTTCCACACCTTGGCCATTATGAATAATGCTGTAATGAACATAACAGTGCTAATATCTCTTCAAAAATAGTTATTTGCTTTGGATATATACCCAGAAGTGGAATTGCTGGAGCATATGGTAATTCTATTTTTTTATTTCTTGAACAACCTCCATACAGGTTTTCCATAATGACTGTACTAATTTATACTTCCACCAAAAATGTAGAAGAGTTGCTTTTCTCCACATCATTGCCAATACTCGTTGTCTTTTGTTTCTTTGATAATAGCCATCATAACAGGTGTGAGGCAATACTTCATTCTGGTTCTGGTTTCCCTGATGATGAGTGATGTTGAGCATCTTTTCATGTATTTGTTGGCCATTTGCATGTCTTCTTTGGAGAAATGTCTATTCAAGTCCTTAACCCATTTTTTAACTGGGTTATTAGGTTTCTTACTATTGAGTTGTAGGAGTTCAATCATTTGCTTCTTAACTGGAAACTTCTTGGGCAAGGCCCTTGACACTACCTCACACATGAACCTACCCCATCATCATGCTCCCTTGCCTCTTGCTGTCCTCTTCATTTCTCCCACTGTCTCAGCTCAGAAGCACCCTGCCTTGGAATCAAGGAGGATGCATAGAGATAATCATAGGAATGAGGGTGCTGTAGCAAACCAGTCTCTTGCCCCACATCAAAAGACTTGAGTAAATCCAAAATACTGGATGAAGAAAGGTCATCTGGCTTTGCTGAGCTATTTGAAACCATAAGTGAAATAAGTCAATCAGAGAAAGACAAATATCAGATGATTTCACTCATATGTGGAATTTAAGAAGCAAAGCAGAGGATCCTAGGGGACGGGAGGGAAAAATAAAATAAGACAAAATCAAAGAGGGAGACAAACCATAAGAGACTCTTAACTCTAGGAAACAAACTGAGGGTTCCTGTAGGGGAGGTGGGGGGGGATGGGGTAACTGGGTGATGGGCATTAAGGAGGGCACTTGATGTAATGAGCACTGGGTATTGTATGCAACTGATGAATCACTGAATTCTACCTCTGAAACTAATCATACACTATATGTTAATTAATTGAATTTAAATAAAATTTTTAAAAAAAGAATATTCACCTTAAAAAAAAAAAAACTCTCAGTGACCTGGTTGTGGGAAGACTGTCAGCACTGGGCCCCTTAACTTATCCATCACTACTGCAGAAAACCCACTGGAATCTCTGTCCCTTCCCCTTCTCTGACCAGGAAATTCTATTACTGCCTGTCCTGCACCTCTCCAGAAGCTACAACCTTGCTCTCCTTTCAGTGATCACCCCAACCATTTCACACACACTTACTTCCTCACTTTCTTTTGTCTTAACTAGCTAAACCAGGTACTATATATTAAATATGAAGATTATTTTCCATTATCAAAGATTACTTTACATTATATATTATTTATACAATTTCCACTGATATAGCACCTGCTCATTTACAAACCACTTTTCAGATATGTTCTTTCATTTGATGCCCACACATTCTAATGGAAATGGTGTTGTACTTCTCTCATTTTTCCATGAGAAAAATAAGGCACAAAGATCTTCCAAGGGAAACGGCTGGTAAGTAACTACACAAGGACTAAAACCAAATCCTGGACTGTTTCCATTAATTCTCCTGATCCAAAGAAGCTAATTCTGGCCACATATGCAACATGCCCCCATCATTCAAGTTGCTATCAAAGTTGTCCCTTCTGAGTTTATACTGTGAGCAAATATGTAACAGGCAGAGGAGTAATATGGCATAAGAGCAAAGAACAAGACCCTAAGGACCAAACTGCTTGGGTTGGAAATAGAGCCACTTACTAATAATATGATCTTGAGCAAGTTACTGAGCAGTAACTGGGTCCTGCTTTGTTCCTTCTGGAATTTGCTTCTCTGCACCCATTTCAAGGGTAATCTAATAAATCTACAGTTCAGTTTCCTCATCTGTATACTGCCAGAGTTCTTATATGGATTAAATCATCATACAGTGCCTGGCACATGTAAATACTCTCGATGTGTTCAGTATTTGCACTGGGCACCTGCTACGAGAATATGGTGGTGAACTGGGGATACAGTGTCTAACAGCCAAACAGATCCCTACCCTCCCTGAAATGATATCCTGGGCCTCCCCGTGTCAATGATGTCTCATTGTGTCCTTCCTAGTAGGAGAAATCACTTTGGTCCAAAGTTCCAAGCACTTGGGAGAAAAAAAGATACTTTAGAAGCTCATGCTTCTGTACCTTAGAAAAATGCCCAGAGAGATGCAGACAGTATGGGTCCTTTCCAACATTACAAAGGATTTTATTTCAGTGCTTTAATCATCAGGAAAAAAAAATCACTGATACTCAGTGTCCTTGAGTGTAGACTTCCTCTCACGCATCTTCCCTTACCTGTTTCTCCCTTTACCTGGAGTCACTGACACGCATCTGCAAATCTCTCCCTGAGTTCTGCTCTGGAACTAATCCCGACCCTAGGCAAGGTGGACATTAGGAGCCTGAGGCCAGGAACATAGTGACTGACTCAGGATCAAGTCATTCTGGCCAGTAGCCAGAGTTTGATCCTGGGCACGAAGGGCAGGTAATGGATTTCTGATTGTGTCCCATGGCAGCCGAGTCTCTGCCTTTATAACTGCTGAGCGGAGCCACAGTTCCTTCCAAACTGGGTCCTGCTTTGTTCCTTCTGGATCTTGCTTCTCTGCACCTATTTCAAGGGTAAGAACCCAATTCCTGAAGCCCAGAACTTTGCTATCTAATCCTCTCAGTATTATCTGCACCTTTTATATAATTTTCATGCTCAGACAAGCACCTATGGTTCTACTCCACTCTACTGTCACGATATGCACCTGTTACTCCTGTTATGACTTTCTTAATGCCACCCACCTGCATGAAATAAAAAGTTTAACCAAACCAGACAGAAGCCCTCCCACTGCCAGAAAGTGGCCTGCCTCGTACCATATATGACCTCCTGGGGGATTGTAGCCTGTCCAGTTTCATGACACTTCTGATATGTTATTCCAACACCCAAACCCATTCTGCAAGCTTTTCCCAAAGAGGTTGGAGCTAAGAACATGCCCTCTAGGATATGTATCTGTCTTTTCTTCAGGGAGAAGTTAAGATCTTCTGATACCCAGTTTTAGAAAGCCAAACACAGAGAAATCCTGGCCAAAAGAGAATAGTCTGAGGAGGTAAATTTCATAATTTCTGCCTTCACTGATGAAGGCAATGAAAGTTCAGGAGGTGACTTCGTGCTCCGTGTAAATCAGTGACAGAGCCAAAATGGAAAGCCAGAAAGCTGTGACACCAAAATCCATACTCCCATCAACTATACCAGTCACTCAGAAGAATTTATAACAACTGGAGACTCCAAGCCAGGACACACACCTAACATTCCTTCCTATTTTTTACTTACCGGAAATCAATGCTGAGGAGAAACCAGAGCCATATGACTGAATTCCTCCTCCTGGGACTGACCAGTGACCCCAAAGAGCAGGGCAACGTGGCTGGAAACTCAGTCATCACTGCAGCCATCCGGGGGGATGCCCGCCTCCATACCCCCATGTACTTCTTCCTCTCCAACCTGTCCCCGGTGGACATCTGCTTTACAAGTGTCATTGTGCCAAGGATGCTGGCAAACATGCTGAGCAAGAGCAAGAAGGTTCCCCTTGCCCAGGGCCTCACACAGATGTATTTCTTTGTGGCCTTTGGGATCACTGACAGCTTCCTCCTGGCGGCCATGGCGATTGACCGCTACATGGCCATCTGTAACCCGCTGCATGACACGACGACCATGGGCCCCCGGCACTGTCTCCTGCTGGTGATGGCGTCCTGGGTCCTGTCCCACCTCCACTCACTCACCCACACGATTCTCATGGCCCGCCTCTCCTTCTGTGGGCCCAACGTCATCCACCACTTCTTCTGTGACGTCCAGCCACTGCTGACGCTCTCCTGCTCTGACACCTCCATCAGTGAGCTTTTGGCCTTCACAGAGGGCTCTGTGGCGATCATGAGTCCCTTCATCTTGATCATTGTCTCTTACGTTTTTATCACCCGTGCCATTCTGAGGGTCCCTTCCGGGGAGGCAGGTACAAGGTCTTCTCCACCTGTGGATCCCACCTCACGGTTGTGGTACTATTCTATGGAACCATAATATTTGTGTACATTCGCCCCTCATCCACCTACTCAGTGACAAAGGACCGTGTGGTCACTGTCATCTATACAGGAGTTAGCCCCATGCTGAACCCTTTTATCTACAGTCTTAGGTATAAGGACATGAAACAGGCCTTGAAAAAGCTGATCAGAAGGGTAGAATAGCAAAACCCATTCATTCATTCAACAAGAACCCATGAAACACCTGCTGTGTGCCAGGAACTGTACAGAATTATGAAAATATTGCAAAGATACATCAATCATAGCTCCGTCTTCAAAATTAATTACAGTTCAATAAGTGGAGATGAGACAATTGCAATAGGTTATTATACTTTTTGGTAAAAATAAATAAAATGAGACACAGATATTGATGTCTTACTGTATCAGACACACGGTTTCCTTTTTTTTCATTTGCAATCTCTGGCTCATGTCACAGACATAACCAGTGTTGTGTAAAAAGTATGATGAAAAGCCAGAAAAACTTCTGTAGTGATTTTTTTTTAACCTGTTGGGATATGGGTCAGCTCATACGAAGCCTCAGTTAAGTCAATGTTCTCATCATATGAGTTATTCATCTTATGCACAAACTCCTGGGGTCTGGCTAGTGGATCTTCTTACTACCTTTAGATCAGCTCATAACATCTCCAAAGCTGTTCACATATTTGTCAGAGAAGGCAGCTTCACTGGCATAGTAATAAGATCCTAAGATTCTGAGTGAAAACTTAAGTTACAACTTGATCTCACAAACTGTGTGACCATAATCAAGCCACTAAGTGTCCTGAACTCTCATTTTCCTCATCTACATAATGGATACAATAAATAATCCCACTACATGGTTGTGGGTGTCAAAGGAAAAATTCTGAATTTGATGACTTTGAATCATTTACTTAACCCCTCTGAGCTTCTGTTTCCTAGTTCTGAAATTATACCACTTGGCCTGGAAGCCCAATCCACCATTACCAACCCCATGATCTTGGGCAAGTACATTAACCTCTCTGTGCCTCAATTTTCATATGAAAAGTGGATTGTTGTGGGGATTAAACGATGTAACAAGTGTCCTAAGACATATATTATTTATGTTTTAAGTATGTGGAACAGTGTCTTGCATATAACAAGCCCCAGAAAATTTCAGCCACTATATCAAAATTATATGAAAGTGTGTCTATGGACCCTTCCCAAATAACATTTGAAGATTTGTAATGAGGTGGGAAATAGTCATAATGTCATACATCCTCTAAGTGAGTTCAGTCCAAGTGTCTCCTGAAATTATTTCAGTGTTTCCAAGTGTTTCACTATAAATGATCTGGTCTTTAGGACCTTACCACTACGTTGTCAACTTTCTTAGGAATTCCAGTGAGTACAGAGAAGGTCTCCCCAATATCCATAATAACAAAATGCCCCCCAGCCTCTTTTCTCCATCCATCCTCCCTCCAATCCAGAATTTCACTATCAGAGAATCTTCATGAGGAATGCTGTTCAGGGGCTCCTGGGTGGCTCATTCATTAAGCGTCTGCCTTTGGCTCAGGTCATGATCTCAGGGTCCTGGGATGGAGCCGCGCATCGGGCTCCCTGCTCGGTGGGGGGCCTGCTTCTCCCTCTCCCACTCCCCCTGCTTGTGTTCACTCTCTCGCTTTGTCTCTCTCTGTCAAATAAATAAATAAAATCTTTAAAAAAAA